TGAATACAAAAAAAATTTAATTTTATATATTTAAACAGTATTAACCAATCAAATACTAGAAAATTTATTGTCTAAATGCATATTACTATTAATTTTTTTTTAAAAATTATGTATTTATACAATATACAATATGTATTTAGACAGTATCAACTATATAAATATTTTATAATCTTCTAATTTTGTTAATATTATTAAAATTATAAATATTTTTTTTTAATTTATTGATAAAAAATAATAGCTATATGGTAACTTAGTGAAGTGATTAAGTTGTCATATTCTTAAATGATATGTTGGCTAGATAAAGAGTTCAAAATCTACTAGTATGAATTTTAAATATTCTATCTATATGATAGTTATTGTCTTTTAATAATTAATTAAAACAAAATTTCTGTAATTTTAATAGTACCAATAAGATTAGGAAATTATAGAATATTTGTATAATATATAAGTTATATAAAAGTATACAAGCTGGTATTAGATAGTACAAACCTAAAATAAATTTTTGTAATTGTATAAAGCCAAAGAATCAGAAAGATAGATACCCATTTGGCAAAATCCAAGTAAAGAAGTAATATAAACTTTTAATAGTGACTACTAAAATAAACTTTATCTGGGCCCAGTTAACTAGGTAAGACAAGAGTACTAGCAAGTTGTTTCACTAACTAGGTTGTCAAAGCATTGACTAAAGAAAAAAAATCAGCAGATACTATGGGACTGATATCTCTTCCAGGCTATCTGAATTGATAGTCTGAAGAGATGAGCTAGAAAGTACTAAAAGAAAAAATACTAGATTATCTTAAACAGAAAATACAAAGATTTGAGTAAACTTTATAAGAACATTAGTAGATAATAGTAGTAGTTTCAGCTTGCAAGTACTTGTTCTCAGACTTGATATAAGTTACCGAAAGTCTAGGCTAGCCAAAATATAAGTATAAAAAGTTCTAGCAGATTTATTATAAGATCAAAAAGCTTTCTATATAGAAGTATATATTTGCTTTAAAGCTTTAGAAGACCTCAATAGTAGATTTCTATTTGGAGATAATATCTGATGACATAAAGTTGATCAGAAAGTTTAAATAGAAAATCTACAAGCAGATTCTAGATATGACAATTGGTAGATAACTATAGATAGTATAGCAGAGCCTTTAAATAAACAATAACTAAAGTTATACATATAACCAATTGTATTTTTGTTTATATAGAATATCAGGTATAGTCTTGTGACTATATTGGTATTCAATTCAAAGTTTAATAAACTGTGCCAGACCTTTGAATGATTATTTTAATATTTTAAAAAAAATAATAGCTATAATATAAGCAAAATATTCAAATTATTATTATTAATAAAATTTAAAATTTTAATTTACCAATATATTATTTAAAAAGATAATAATGATTTTATTAAATTATTATATAGTATTTATTTGATTTAAGTATATGTTAAAAAATTATTTAAAATAATTAATATAGTTTTTGTTATTAAAAATTTAAATTTATTACTATTATATTACTATTATCTATTAATAAAATTTTGTATAAAATTATATAAATAAAATATATAATTTTATTAGCTAACTTTAATTTGATTTAATATAATATTATTGGTTAATTCTAATTTGATTTAATACAATTTTATTGGCTAACTTTAATTTGGTTTAATATAATTTTATTGGCTAACTTTAATTTGATTTAATACAATTTTATTGGCTAACTTTAATTTGATTTAATACAATTTTATTGGCTAACTCTAATTTGATTTAATACAATTTTATATATCAACTAATTTTAATTTGATTTAATACAATTTTATTGTATAATATTATGTATATAAAAAACTAGATTGATTTTTTTTGAACCAATTGAAACTTAGTCCAAATTCTATTAGTTTATTATTCCAATTGGATTCTAATTACTGTAGATTATTCCAATTACAATATGCCTATATTGGATCTTTTTATTTTATATACATACCTATATTGGATTTTTCAATGAGAATTATACTAATTGGAAACGTGGGTTTCACGCTGTGTTACGTATAAAATTTTTATCAAGTTGGTTAGATAATAAAATATATAACTGTGTTTAAAATTAAATATCTAAAATTCTAAAAGATATCAACGTCAATGAATATCTAATTAAATTTAATAAAAAATTTTTTTATTTATTATAAATTTTGTATATTTATAAATTTTACTATATATCTACGTATTAAATTATATATGTTGTAAGTGGAATTTCATATGATTTTAGGGTTAGGGTATAGGTTTATATAAGATAAATTCTATATATATGTTATAGGTGGAAAGTTGATTTGAAATTTTTAAGGATTGGGTTGGGATTTTTAGTATAATTATTCCGTTCTAATCTAAGTGGATTCCGAACCCTATTATCGTTTCATTCCCACTTACAACATATGTACGTACGTACCTAAAATTGTAGTTTTATAAAGAAATTCCAAAACCACTTAAATCCCGTTCCCACTTACAACATAAATCGACAAATTTAGAATCAATTTAAGTTGCTTTTAGATTTTGCACCAACTAGGGATGCATTTGAAATTTTGTTTCAACCAAAGTAACTTCTAAATATACCGCTACAACAATTCAAGGTCTGACTGTATTATCATTTCTTTTATCGTTATATGTTCGGAATAATCAAAATTAAACTCTTTTTCAGTTACAAAAAAATAAGTGGATAATACATATTTGGCTATTAAAAATTTTATTAAAACTAGGTTCGCGCTGTATTGCAAATAAAAGATTTAACTTTTATAAAAATAAAAACATTTGATTATAAATTATGTCAAAAATTTAAGGCTACGTATAATTTACGTTAACAGCTTAATTGAAATTTAGTAATATGGTTAGTATATAAAACAATAGTTCTTTTATTAATGTAAACTGCGGATGGTATTAGATGGAGTCAAGAAGATAGTGTAACAATAATTTGGGGAGATTATTACAGGTGAGAAGCTCATTTCACTTGGTACGACCAAATAGCGATAGTGCAAATAATAATCAAAATTCAAGGGATGTTATAAAAGTTGACAGGGGTAGAATCAAGTCGTTAGCATCCCCCGGATTGTAAACATTCATTATTTTTAACTCTTGATAAGTATTATAAGCCTTTGTATTAGTACATATAAGTACGTACTGTACGTACGTACGTACATACATAGAAGTGTCTTCTGTAAATAAACATCGCCACCCAATTTAGACAATTTAGTCATTATCGTTATCATTATAAAAACTCAATAATAGCACATGAACTATTATTCTACAAATAAATGGATAAAAATCGAAATCTCGAATTTTAAACACTATTTTTCAAGCCAGCTCATAGTAAAATATTTCTCGTTTTTTCTTAAATCCAAACCTGTATATTTTATTTTTTACGGGTTTTCTTATCTGGTTATATTAACATAGTTTTGTGCAAGGATTCAAATTGGTTCACAAGTCGGTCATGTCGTAGTACCAGAGGCCTATTGTCCGAACTTCACCTGGTATATTGTTCATTTATCGTAATCATATACTATTCAAATACTACGTATTCAAATACAGTTTTTTTAAGAAATATAATCGATATTTGAAGAATAGTCTATAAATAAAAAGCGGTAATAAATTAATATTTTTTGTAACCTAATAACAAATAATTACGTTAACTCGGCTATATGATCCAAGAACGTAGTAAATTGCCAAGGACACATGATTTTATCATACAAAATTTAATTTGTTTAAATAATATATTAAAAGTGATCTCATGGTAACAAAAATAAAATGATTCTCTGAAGATTTGCAAATCTCGATTTTTTTCTTTGTGCCGACCTTGTAAGTTTGTGCGCTGTTTATTGCATTAATAAAAAATAAATATAATATATACTTACATTATAAATAGTTCGTATGGATAATTCTAGTTTCTCTTTAAATATATAGAAAGCATAGTAACCACTATTTCAGGAAATTTTCGCGTGTACCGAATGTTAATTGTATATAAGTTATTTTTATACATTTAAAAAAAAATTTGAATTTATTAAAAGTATATAGATAAGCCATAGATAGGCCAGACAGGTTTTTACATATAAAAAGAACATATGACTAGGGAAACTCCTTTTACTTTCGAAGTTCATTCACCTTCCCCATCAATTGTTATCCCAGCACGAAGGACTTCGTCTAACATTTCTACACCGTTGACGCCACCCAAAATGTCTCCGATAACTGGAAGTCCTGTGCTGGAAAGCGAACTAGTGACCTTAACTTCCTCGACGTCGCCCAAAAGTAGCAGCCTAAATTTACATTATATGTCTTCGTCACCAGTGAATTCAACGACTAAAGATTTATTTTCTTCACCGCGCTATTCTTCTTATTCTCCTTCTTACACTTCTTCTCCAATTACTACAAGCCTTAAATCAGAGGCCACAAAGACTGGTGAATACTTTAAAAAAAGTAGATCATACTCACATGCAAAAAGTACCTCAGACATTTTGGGTGTTAACCACCAAGTTTCAAGTCTCACTAAAAACCCTTTTAGTGAATGTGAAATTTTTACTACTGAAGTATCAAAAAGTTTACCTGAATCTAATGCAAAAAAAATAAACGGAACAACTAAACCTTTATCTGAAGTATGCAATAAACCTAATAATGTGTTACAGAATGACAATAATGAGAATCAAAATACCAGGCGGGATAAGAAACTTCGTCGACGTAGTAGCTGGGATATCGTTGAATTGTTAGCTTTGGACAATTTTAGAAATTGGATGGTGTGTTTTTGTGTGGTCAATTTTGATCTAGAATTAGGTCAAGCAATGGATTCTATGTATCCACCCTCTGAATTAGATGAAGAAGAAAAGAAAAGCATATGCTTTTCTGCTTTTCCTGATTCAAATTCATTTGATGTTGGTGATACTGTTTTCAATTTTCGTATAAGATGTTCTAAATCAGGCCTGGTTGCTTCAGGTTAGTAACTTAAATTTTAACCTTGGATAGTTCATATGAGTGCTACCAAGGGAAAACCTATCGTCAGCTTTCAATTGCAGTGTATTTCATTTCGGACTCCAGAAACTCATCCATAATATACTTAATGTATAATATATACGTAGTTGATCAAATTTTTAATGGACGAGTCCTGGAGTCTGGAACAAAATATAATTGAAAGCCCGATGACGAGTTTATCCTTGGTGGTATTCATATATGGTTAAATAACTTTATAACTGTATTTGCTTAAGAACTATATGACTAGCGATTATTTTAAATGTCAAAAACATAATATCGCAATTAGCTATTTTCATAATTTCTTAAAAAAAAAATTATTACATTTAAATTCTTGTTAATAAATGAAATAATATAATCATATCACAAGAATTCAAAATATTTTATTTAACCATCAGGTCCAACAGCCGATGCTGGTTTCTTGTATGGCTATGTATTCTTCCGACAGAAAAAAGATCCGCGAATAAAACGTGGATACTTCCAGGTAATTGCACGTCAAATTTATTAACATCAGTTTTTCACAGGATAATACTTTATTATTAAATACTGTATTTCATATATCAGAGGTCTTTAGTGCTCTTATCTCAATATCCTTATGTTGGTCTTTTCTCAAGAGTGGTATCTATTCTTGGCCCTGCATACTTTGAAGTAGGCAATCCAATGCTCGAAGCAGCATGCCACGATATTGCTAGCTGGTTTGTTATTATTACTTCTAGAATGAACTATTAAATAATAAACTTTTAACATGTTTGTTTACATTCATACATATTAGGAAATCTCCATCTCCGAGTAAATTATTTGATCTTCCCTTTCTTGGAAATGTTATACAAGTTGAAATCCCACAACCGAATAAGCCACAACTTCTTGAAACTTGTCCTTTTGACATGGCGAATTATCATCCTGAACTTCAAATACTTGCTTCATTACCCCCCACATCAATGTTTACTCATTTCAGAGACATGATTAAAGATTTATGGTTATGTTGGGAGCTAATGTTATTTGCGGAGCCTATTGTTTTAATGGCTCCAGATCCAAAAATTTGTAGTGAAGCTGTACTTGAATTGATGGATATCATAAATCCTGTAAGAGTTTGTTTTAATTGATCTATTATTTCTTATAATGTAATTGTTTAAATTGAACTTATATTCTAGATACCATATTGTGGTGATTATCGCCCGTATTTCACAATTCAAGACTTGGATTTTAAATCTTTTGTAACAAAAAATAAAGTACGTGTTATATATATATAATATATTTTTTTTTATTTTTTATTTTTTTTTGGTTGGTGTCATTTTCCAGATTTAACGATGATTGCATTCTGCATATCTATAGCCACCTTCTAATGTAATAATCGGCGTAACCAACCCTTTCTTTGTTAAAGCACTCGCTCATTGGCCAAACTTAGTTCGAGTAGGGAAGCCAAAAATAAGGTATTCATCGAATGTTTTTAAAATATTCTTTCGATTTGAATTATTTAATTCATTAACATTTTATCACGTGGACATAAAAGGAAAGGAGTAGATGGTTATAATTCGTGGAGAGGATCACATGCATCATCACTAGATTTTGTTCAAGGTGTAAAAAGTAAACGTAAATCTGTCATAGCCAAAGATAAGGCAATATTAAAGCGGTTAGCAGAAGCAGTGGCTCGTGGTTATCCTCCAGGTACGTTCAAATCAGAAATCAAATACATAAAACCTTCCTAAATGCATCTTGGGATAATAATGATAATAATAATAATAATAAGCAGTGTTCATTTAGAAAACGTGCAGCTGTAGAAACTATATCATGTATTTAAAGATATCTAAAGATATTTATATAATGGGTGCATTTATGTAGGTCTTATTACGCACAGCGTTTAAGCATTCACAACTAAATTTTGTTATTATTTGTAGATTACCTATTAAATAATATTTTAAGACGATATTTCGTAGATCTCACGGAAAAGTTTTTAGTGCCACTGAATCGTTATTTCTCTACACTGATTCCATTCCATATGTATGTTTATTGATAGGCTAAACAGTATATTTATCTTTTTCATTTAAGACTAATATAAACTTTAACATACATCTTTTACTGTCTTGTTAGTACACTTTCGTCTTCACAAGAACCTCCACAACTCAAACCATTTAAAATGGATGGTTTTTTAAAATCTTTGCAAGAGCATGGTAAACATAAATATATTATTTATTTTATTTTATTTTTTTTGTTTTTTAGATTATTGACTTTATTCTTATCACCATCAAGGACCACAAATTCCATTTAAATCGAAAAAATTTCCATCCAATGCAACTGAAACGTATTTAAACTTTTATGCACAATTTTTAAAATGTGGTAACTTTGCAACTTGGCTTAGACAACGTACGATAGAAGCACAGAATGAGTTACGTAAAAGATATTTACAAGTACTTTGTGAAGGTGATGTAAAAACATGGATGGCCGGCAAACATGAAATGGAATTGGTAGATCTATTAGTCAGAGTCAAGGATGAATTGGTACTATATTTAATATATCATTAAAATTTTGGTTATAGAATTTCTCATTAAAAATAAATTCTTTGAATTTTAAATGTACAGAAATTAACAAAGCAAGATTTATCATCAAATTCTCAATTGTTGGTTAATCGAGAGTGTGATAATATTTCACTATCAATACCAACACCTAAACAGCGAGAAAAATTAAAAGCTCAAGCGGACATTATAATATCAGGTCTGCCTAGGGATTTGAGGGAGTCATTTACAGCGGAAATATGAGTATAATGACACATACGTTATTTATTCAAAGAAAAAACTGAAACCTCTAGACGGTTTATGTTTTGATATTAAAACTATTCAAAATATACCGGACGAAAGAGGATTTCATGTAAATTCCAACATTAGTAATGTACATCGCGTTATTAATTCTTCCTAATAGCGTTCTATGAAAATACTAATTTGTTGGTATCATTAGGTAAAATAATTACATAATGAGTATAATAATTTGTAATTAAAACCAATAGCTTAAGTAGAATATTTTGTAAATTATTCAGAGTAAATAGGGTTTTTAATTTAACCGATTCGATATTTTTTTTTTTTTCCTGGTAAATTATTTTTTTGTACATTGTTTTTCTTAATTATGATAAAATGTTACGTATATAGAACACGTTTTAATGTTGAATAGACATTTGATTATAGCAATAAATGACAATTATAGTGCATTAGATCTAGGCATTTACGATGGTCTTTTTTAATTCAAAAATAATATTAAAAATTTATTTAACAAACAAGACAGTATATGTTTTTATTAGTTACCTTGTTGTGTGCGTGTTGCACAATTACAAGGAATCCATCTCCTTGTTTCGTTGGTGGTTTAGTCCATTCCACTAATTTCACTTGTTTGTCTATTAAACCATGTCAGTAAAATTATTCAGATAAAAAAAATTTTAAAAAATGAGTGAATCAATAAATGTGAAAAATACCATTTTTCTCAATGCTAAATCCAG